GGTAGCCCACATCGGAAGACAAGGAGGCGCAGATCTTTCCGCCTTCACCTGGCGGCGGCCATGTTCCAGCATCCGGTTCGTCGCCGCCTCGCCGCGGCGGCATGGAACTGGAACCGAGCCACCGCCACCGGCCATTTGGGGCCTGGCGGAGTCCGGCATCTTGGTCGGACCAAGACGGCGAGCGACGGCCACGCCGCGTCGGCGCAGGAGAAGGCGCATTATATGTCGCCCCTTTTCAGCGCCACGAGGGCAGATTTGGCCAAATACTCCACCACGCCGGATCTGATGGACGAGCAGCCGGAGCCGGAGCTGGAGGAGACGCCGACCTTCTCGTGGGAGCTCCAGGACTTGCTCAACGAGGACCTGTATAAGGACGAGGCGAGTGCTTTCTTCACTCCTTTCCCTTTGGTTTCCATCTGCATATTCAACTCCAATCTGCTAAATTAATCTCCGGCGATGTTCAGATGAAGAGAATCCCGGCGACTTTCACCTCAATCAGGGACTACACGAGGTCCTTCGTGGTTCCACTGATGGAGGAGAGGCGCGCCGGCGTCTGCGCCGCGCTGCGCTGCAAGGCATCGGCCACGCGCCCGTGGCTAAGGTAGACTGGATCGAGGAGTACCGTCCGCTCTCGGACCGGTCACTGTTAGGGTACACTCTCTGGTCGTCAGCTGGTGATGGTGACTGTTATTTCCCCAAGGACGACGATGTGGTGCTGTTGACGCACCGGAGGCCGACGCGCACGTCGGTGCTGGAGCAGCCATGCGCCATAGCTATCGTTAGAGGCGACGCGGTGACCAACGGTTTTGAAGTCCACACTCTGGTGGAGCTGCTGTCAGGTAGTCTGCCTCTCAAACAACATGACGGAAGGGCGGAAAAGATCGCATTGTCTCTTTTCGCGGTGCACCTGATCAACCACAAGACGGCAATGTATGCTCCGAGCCGGCTGCCCATCGCCCATCACGGGGACGGGGACATTAACCTCATTGAGAAAATTGCCAAGTATGCTCCAATGGTATGCATTTTTCTTGATTGTTCACATGGTTTCGTCTTTAGTTTCTCTAGCTACCAGCTGCTCTCAGTCAGTATGTTGCGACCTACTACCTTTGTTTCTAAATGTAGGACATTTTGGTAGTTCAATCTGAGAGCGGGCGGTATTTATGTACGCCAAAAAGACATTTTGGTAGTTCAAGCTGTGTGGGTTGCCAGTGGTTGAGCCCAAGATGAGCCCGGGGGAGGAGCAAGTGACCATGTCATTTAAGGAATTCTTCCTATGCAACTACGAACGCTTCGAGGAAGGCCTGCGCTGCTGCATAGAGGCTTACCGCAACGACCTCCTCCTCCCCGCAAAGTGCAAGCAGAGCGTCCCTTTTATAGATGAGCTCCTGCGCGCGCTCGAAACCTTGGGGGACCTCCTGTGATCCGACCCGGAACGGCTGATGCGAAAGCTCTTCTTCAAGAAGCCGGTGGGGTGGCCGGAGTTTCTGGAAGCAAGAGCCGTGTGCATCGACAAGCTGAAGCAATTGCCCGACCACTTTCACGTCCCCAACATCTTATGACAAATTCGAAGAGTACATACTGAACAATGCTAAGATCATACTTTGCACCGCTTGTACCTCGTCCCACCTGAGCCGGACCGTGGAGCTTGGGGAATTTAAGCCAATCGACCTTCTTATCGTCGACGAGGCGGAGCAGCTGAGGGAGCGTGAGATACCGATACCTCTGCACACCGGTGTCCATCGCACTGTCCTCATCGGCGACGACTGCAAGTTACCGGCGCTAATCAAAAGCAAGGTGGTCTTTCTTTCCAACTTCCCCTATACAAACATGATCTTGCTTGTTTTTCTCTTTCTTTTACACGACACAGTCAGTCTTGTAATGTTTGCACAACTCTATTGTACCTTGCAGGTCAGCGTGGACGCCGACTTTGGGAGAAGCCTGTTCGAGAGGCTTATATCTCTTGGACATCCTAGGCACCTCCTTGATGTGCAGTTCAGGATGCACCCGGAGATAAGCAAGTTCCCCCTCTCGAGGTTTTACCTCGGTAAGGTGACAGATGGCTCCAACGTCCTCCAAAGGGATTACGAGAGGAAGCTCCTGGCTGGCCCAATGTACGGCCCCTACTCGTTCATCGACATCAAAGGCGGGACCGAGAGCTCGGGCGAGCATGACATGAGCCTGAGCGACGCGGCCGAGGCAGCCGCCGTGACCCGGATCGTGGAGAGATTGTTCAATGGTGCTGTAATTTGATCAGTCACTAGTAGTACACATTCATGAAATAGGTTTACCTTCTATCTATCATCGATGACACGGCTCGATTGATGATCTTGATTTGCTTTTGTGCAGAGTCGGTTTGCTCGGGACAAAAGCTAGCCGTAGGCGTGGTGTCGCCCTACAATGCGCAAGTCCACGCCATCCAGGAGAGGCTCGGAAGGCTCGAGTGCGGGGCACACGGCGATGGAGAAGGCTTCTCCGTGAAGGTTCGGACCGTGGAGGGGTTCCAGGGCACCGAGGAGGACGTCATCGTCTTCTCTGCCGTGCACAGCAACGGCAACGGGTCGGTCGGGTTGCTGGCCGACTGGAGGCGCACGAACGTGGCGCTCACCCGGGCAAAGTGAGTGAGAAAATCTCTTCAGTTCATGTTCAGTCACATAGAACAATTTGGGCCACTGTAAAAAAACTAACGACGATCGACATTGTGTTGTGTTATGTTCTTCCATCCGCAGGCACTGCCTTTGGATCCTGGGCGACGCGGCGACGCTGTCGAGCAGCAAGACGATCTGGCAGGAGATTGTGGCCGACGCAAAGGAGAGAGGGTGCTTCTACGACTGCAACGAGGACAAGGACCTCGCGGCCGCGATACGCGACGCCGTGGTCGATCGGTCGGATGAATTAATTGGACAATCTGCTCAACGTTGAGAGCACACTCGTATAGGCGGGCGGGTGATCATGATCTAGGGTACGAATGAACCTATGCCTGGTACTTGTTAAGTCGAGAAGGAACCAATGGCCGAAAGATTCATGGCCTTAATCTGTTGGACCAGTAGGTGCCGCCACTTCCTTTCCTGCAAGAATCCAAGATGAACTACATATGAAATTATGGCTGGTAGGGATACGGTTGTGTGTCAATTCCGCGTCGGTCTGCTACTCTTGGGAGGCCAACTGAAGAAGCTTTTGTAGGCGCAGAGAAACATGGTGACACCGAACTGTAAGCCTTGAGACTGCCGGAAGTCCATTGTTCTCCCCTGTCCCTGTATATACCACATTATCATTATCATTTTTCATTTTATGATTTTGGTAAAGAGGGTTTCCCCTCTGATGTCAACTATTGGCAACCAGCAGCATATAGTCTATAGTGCTCTTTCAGTTTTCTTTTGATCTTGGTAGCCATTGATGAAAGTGTTACCCTGCAATGCATGGATCTAGATGAAGCCAGCATGTAGAAGAAAGAGGGAGACGAAGAGTCGAAGATGCTTGGAACTGCAACTGATAGAGGTGATCAATTTTGTTCTCTTGATCGATCTACATGTTGGTTATTCGGTCACCACCGCAGTTGCTGTGTCTGCAGTGTACTCCTGTGGTAGAATAGAATGATGCGCTGTAGTTGTGGATTTGTAGCAGTGTGTTGAGTTAATTCACATGCCTTGTGTTCCTGTGGTTGGGTGCTGATTCAGTTAGTTAGTCAGTCTCCAGCTTTCTGGTTAGGCGGCAGCCGTTTAAGATGGTTCCTTCTGTTGGTGATGTCTGGTGTGTCGAGAATCATGTGCAAAAAGGGGTAGGATATATCGGTGGAATTGTTGGATGATCAGCAGTGCAGTGTTATTAATCTGCATCGATTTGTGTTTATCATCCACGTGAATTGATATGATATTGAAGAAATCTAAACGATACGTATTATATTTCTTTACACCACAGCTCTGAGCTCTGTAGACGATGTAGGAATCTAGAAAACTGTATCGTCGATCCATCCTCGATCTTGTTCCCGATCAATTAGGTTTTGCTGTCGTCAATGGCAACTTGAAGCATGGGTATGATCATGATGCTGCTGCTACCGGAAAGCGTGAGCACTTGTGTCTGTTGCTACCAGATTTATCGGCCGGCCCCATGGAGGCATGGCATCGTGCAACAGTCTTCTCTTTCCATCAAGGACGGAACATATTATGCGACGATGCACCAAGGAACTACTGGTTCCCGGTTAAACTGAATTTTGTTTTCTTTTTGCGTAACACGCAAGAGTTTTGTACGTTTACAAAAAAATAAATTAAAAGGAGACAAAAGACTTGCCTCATTCATTAATTAAGAGGGGGGAAAACGAGTTTAATGTTTGTGCTACAACACCCATCGTGTTACAACAACGCTACAAAAGGCCTACTCTCGCGGCATGATAGGTCACAATTTCTTTGCACCCGTGGTGACCCAAGTTTGAGCCTCAATCTTGATGTTAGCTAGTAGAACCGTCGGTGGGGCACTCTTGAGTTGGAAGATGCGAGCGTTCCTTTCATTCCGGATTGTCCAAGAGGTGAGCATGGAGACGGTAGCCATGGCCTTCCTATTCGGTATGGTAGAGTCGGAGAGCCCGATCCACCACTCTTTGGTTGACCGTGCCACGTGCCAAGTGGAAGTGTTGATGCTTTCATGCTGGAGCCAATCTTTTATCATTTCCCAAAGTCTAGTAGTGTACCGGCATCTGCAGAGGAAGTGGTCGATGGATTCTTGCACACGCTTGCAAAGAGGACAAATCCCACAATTGGGCCACCCCCGGTTGGCCAAACGGTCAGCAGTCCATACCCTATATTGCATGGCCAACCACGCGAAAAATTTGACCTTGGGCGGGGCCAGGCCTTCCACACCGCAAGCTTCATGGGTGGGCGGATGATGCCAAAAAATTGGGCCAAGTAGGCGGACTCGGCAGTGTAAATCCCGCTCTCGGTGTGTTTCCACACAATGTCGTCTTCGGCGTACGCCTCAAGAGGGAAGTGGCGGATGGTGGACCAAAGCTCAATAAATTGTCGAAGATGTTCGAAGGTGACCTTGATCTTGCGAACCCAAGCATCATCTTGGAGGGCTTCCCGAAGTGCACCAAAGATGACGAGGTATATCCTGGCAGGGGCTGGATGGATGGAGAAACTGGGGTGGCCGTATGCCTCACGTGACACGTCTGGGTGCCTGAGGCCTGAGCGCTTGCGCGTGCACCTGCTAGAGGGATGGAGACCCAGTGGCAGTGGGCAAAAACTCAACTGGCGGTAGTCTATCTAGGCAACTCGAGGGATGGATCCATTCCCCTGCGTGCTACGGCATGGTGTGGTACGCCAAGGGGAAAGACTTTGTGGACGGACTCTGGTAGATGCTCTGCTTATAATCCGGTGTTCCCTCTTTTTCGCTCGCTTCAAGGTTGTACGCAACGTATGGGCTCTCTGTGTGTCAATAATATCTGCTCTGGTCTGATGCTGGGCCGGACCTAAAAGGGGTTCCCTTCCTGCCTGCTCCGTTTGACCGATAACCGAAAGACCATGGCGTGGGCGTGGCATCCAAACCAGCGAACGAATCCACCCCACAGGCCACAGGCCACACCTCGCCCAGCCCAGACACACGGACAGCAGGCCTACCTGCATGCATGCATGATTCTTCCTTCGTGCATTCCGTCCGAATTCGTAGCTCAGTGCGGGCGTCCGGTCGTACCTCCTCCTCTCCAAAATTCTTGTGATGGATTTAGTTCAAAGAGAATACATACCTATATACGTGCGTCCAGTAAGTTTCATCGGATGCTCAGCTCAGCCCCAGCCTAGGTTATAAGAGCTGTCCAGATAGATACTCCCACTAAACAAGATTCGAGAATGAAGCATCAAAAAAAAGGGAAAAACGTCTGCAAAACGCACCACTGTACATGTGTAAAATACACTAGTAGCTCTGACAGAGTGCAATGCCGGATGAGTACAAGGATAGGATTAGGATGGGCCAGTGGCAGAACTGCGACCGTCCGTAGCTGGATTGATGGTGGACTACGTACGTGCATCCCTTCTTCTCGTCCTTCTTGTTTATCCATCCAGAGTTCCAGACGGGAGGAACGCAGAAAGAGGCCAACCAAGGGAGACATGGGCCACCGTACGTACGTGCTGCGTTACTAGCACCTGCGCGGACAAAATTTCTGTTCTAACCTTTTATGCAAACAAAATCAAGAATTGATCTCGTTTGCGAAGAAATTTTAAATCTGACCTTTTTTGGTCACGCCAAACATCCTTAACGTTTGGCTTGCACGCGAGACGCCGGAGTTGGTGGTGTTTGGCCCTGACCCACACTAGCTTAGCTGGCGCTGAAGTGGCACGGCCAGACGCCATGTATCTTGGCGTTTGGGAAAACGCCATGGAGCCTGCCGTTTGGGTTCTTCCATTACGTAACAAGAAAATCATGTGGAGCCTGTCTGATTATTCTCGTTTGATGTTGATTAGTGTGGTTGCTTAATCAGTGAGGAGGCAGAAAGCTAAAGTATCACGTCATCAAGGAATCTGCGTTTTTTTAGAAAGACGTGCAGTTTGGATGGATTAATCTCATGTTAAGTGGCCGTGTACCTAAACTTATTTAGAGCATCTCCAACGCGGATCCGTAAACCTCCTGCTATCGTTGTCTGGACCGCGGAAGCTATCCAATGTCGATTTATATCGGTCTGCGGTGTGGTCCGAACGTGATTTCTTCCGTAAACCAGAGACAAAAGTGGGATAGGTTTGCGGGAGTCCGGACCGATCTCAAGCCCGTTGTTGACCGTCCTCGCCCACCAAAAACCCCTCCCGCCTCCCGCGCGTTTTTGTCAGCGCCGCTCCAGAGGGTCAGCGCCCGCATTCATGCCGGCCAGAGCAGACGCAACCGCTCACTGACACCGGCATTGAAGCGGCACGCCGCCCGAGAGAGCGCCGCCCGCGCCGCATCCCATTGCAGGCAACTGTCACGCGTTCAAACGACATGATGGCTGCCCGTTCGTCTGTCTGCCGCCAGGATTGATGACACGCGATTGCCGAGTCTCCTCCGGCGCCACTCGTCCGTCCCTCTGCCGCCTACCGGTGCTATATAAATAGATGCCCCGATGCCCCGGTCATGCCTCTCTGCACCACTTCCCGCCATGGAGCCCCCCTCCGCCACCCCCCCCCCCGCGGCCAAAGCTCTCTGGGACGGGCTGACGTCAGAGTAGAAGAAGGCCATGGCCGCCATTACTGCCGACTGGCAGGTCGGCAGGCAGTCGGTGGACGCCTCCTCCGACATGCCAGCGCCACCCTCCTCTTCATCCGCGACACCCTCCTCCTCCGCTCCACCCTCCTCCTCCGCTCCACCCTCACCGGTGCATTATTGCACCATGACCACCGACAAGGCCCGTGCCCACTATATGGACATGGTGCAGGGAGCGGGAGGGCCAGTTTTGAAAGGCGCAGGCCGACGCCAACTACAACCACAACCTCCTCTAGGAGCATCTGCAGGCGGAGGAGTAGGTCACCGCCGGCAGGGCCGCCGGGCCGGACGAGGACCTGGCGGAGCAGGAAGCGCTACTTGAATCCTACCGCTCCGCCCGCGAGATACACCTCGCCCGCTGGCGATACCGGCAGCGGGTGGCGGAAGTTGCGGCCGCCGGCAT